CCCTCCCACCCCCCACCACTCCAGCAACCCTCAGTTTGTTTCCCGAGATTAAGAATTCCTCATATCAGTGAGGTCATATGATACATGATAGTAGGAAGGGGAAAATGAAGGGGGCGAATCGGAGGGGGAGACGAACCATGAGAGACTATGGACTCTGAGAAACAAACTTGAGGGTTCTAGAGGGGAGGGGGTTGGGGGGATGGGTTAGCCTGGTGATGGGTATTAAAGAGGGCACATTCTGCATGGAGCACTGGGTGTTATACGCAAACAACGAATCATGCAACACTACATCAAAAACTAATGATGTAATGTATGGTGATTAACATAATAAAATAAAATTAAAAAAAAAAAGTTAACATCCAAAAGCAAGAATTCTTTTTTGTAAGAAGGGGGAAACATGAGAACATAGACTCATATTTGCTTGTGAGTACATAAAAAAATGCCAGGAGGATAGAATGGGGCTGGGAATACCAGAATAGAGAGGAGTGGAGAGCGGAAATGGGAGTCAGAGTTTTCTATTGCCTACAGTTTTATTATCATTATCATATGCCAATGTGAATATACCTAATTCAAAAATTATGTTTATTAAAATAATGAAATTAAATAGGAGATAGTAAAAGCAAAGAACAAATTACATAAACAAGAGGTTGGCAAAAGGAGAAATAACAATCTTCCTACCAAAACAAGCTGAAACATATGTTTACTTGTAAAGAACCTGTTAAATGGGGACATCTGCTAAAACTAGATGGTGGGCCCCTACTGTGTGTTATATTATTGTCTGTAGCCCACCTTTGCAAGACTGAAATATTTCCCCCTCCAAAAAAAAAAAAATGTGTAAGAAATTTTCCTTTTTTTCATCAAAGTAATCTATCCTTATACAAGGGGGAAACGTTTTTATGAAAATGGAGGCCATGTAGTGACTGGTTTGCTTTAAAACTATTTGCTTTTTACTTTCATAACCTGACGAGATTTCTATATTTACCAAATAGGTAGTACTTATGACAAAAATACATGGGGACATCATGAGATATTGCACAGTATACTGCCTGCAAAGAGAAATTAGAAAGGAAAGCAGGTTTCTTCCCTCAAGTTGATAATCCTAAACCCTGGAAACCTAATGCAGGAGCTCTACTGCCTTTCCAATTTTGAAAAAAACTTTAACCAATGCCTTCTGTTTCCCAGACCTTCTTCCTCTCACACTTTGGGGATTAGACCCAGATCAGGCTCAAACTGAGTAGAGAAAATTGTCTGCCCTAGTTAACTGGGGCCTACAGGATGATCGTGCCCCATTTCCAGTCCTATGAGAAACCTGTAAAACCAGGGCAGGCTGTGTACTAGCCACCCAGGATAGAGGGTGCTCTAAAGTTTGTGTCAGAATCTCAGGGGTATTCTGGACTCATGATAAATCATCAGAAGGTAACCCTTGGTAGGATGGAAAGCAAAGGTTCTATCAGGCTGAACGCACTCAATTTCCCGGGGCTGCTTCAGACTATGGCTGTCTCATCCAGATCCATGACTCTGGATTCTCTTTTGGAGGGTATTTACTAAGTGATTGTAGGTCTGTTGAACTTGGGTGGGTGCCCTAGCCAGGCAAACTCCTCCTCTGTTTAACTAAGGCTCAGTGGAGGTGCAGCACAGGACAATCTTTCTAGTGTTACTTTCTCAACCGCTTCCCATCTCAAGAGTGTCCCCATGTCAGCGGCCATGAGAGACCCTCCATATACATGATCTCTGATTCTGACAACAACCCAGTAAGACTGTTGCTGTTGGTTCCATGTTACAAATGAGAGCAAAGGAGGCTGAAGGAGTTCAAGGGTGAGGCAAATGACTTAAGGCCATATAGTTAGCTTTATAGTAGAACTAATAACTCAAATCCAGGTCTGATTCTGCAAGCCATGTTTTTTCTACTACAGCATATGACTTTTGATGTCATAACTTTTAGGTTTAGGAGTTTGAACATTATGTAGTTAAACTTAGGATGACAGATCCATATATTCTAATTTGTGCTTGGGCATATTTAAAGCCATTTATAAAGACAAATGACAGTCACCTAAAAACAATTTGCTTGGGAATGCAAAGCTATTCAAAAGATAAACATTACATTTTCCTGCACATAAAAACAGTATTAAAAAATTAAATTATAACCCCAAAGAAATGTATAAATCTTACCACCTTCTTCGGGTTTCATGTCTAATAGTTCATCTACAGGTCCATTAGAGGAAGGGAAAGAAAACAAAATTATGAGTCAGTTTCATTTTGTAAGGAGTTTGTCAAATTTATTAAAATTGAGTCATTTTCCTTAATCTAGATTACCTGAGCATGCATTATGTGTAGAGCTTTTGTCTAAGGCAGATAAAACGCTTTTTCCATCTTCAGCTGTCAACAGAACACATGCATTTGGTTATCACCAATTCAGAATGGTGTGTATTCATATGCTATTGCAGTGTAAGGTAAACACACAGCTCATCACACAGAAGCAGGGGTCCTGAGATTACATTCTGCTCAAACTGTTGGCTCTCCATGAATTGAGTTAACAACCTCGACTCTTTGCTCTGTTTGGTAGAAAACTATATGACACTGACTTAACAATTCTCCTTTCATGGACAAACGTGTGATTCAAGTAATTGACTATTGATGGTGCTACGAACCTTAGCCATTTGGGGCCTGGCTAAAATAAAAAGGGCAGATCACTGAGTGAAAGAAGTCAGCCTGTAAATGCTACATACAGCATAATTCCCACTATACAGAATTCTGGAAAAGGCAAAACTATGTTAACAGTAAAAAGATCAGTGGTTGCCAAGTGTTTGGAGGAAGGGAGAGATGAACAAAGAGCAGCCACGGAGGAGTTTGACGACAGTGAAATTATTCTGAATAATACTCTAATGGCGAATACGTGTCATTGTGTATTTGTCAAAACCCATAAAATGTGTAGCACCAAGAGTGAACCCTAATGTAAACTATGAGTGACAATGATGTGTCAGTGTTGGTTCATTGACTATAACAAATGTATTACCCTGGTAGGGGATGCTAATAATGCATATGTGGGGACAGGGGGTATATGGAGATCTTTGTACCTTCTGCCCAGTTTTCTGTAAACTAAAAACTGCTCTAAATAATAAAGTGTGTGTCTGTGTATATGTGTGTATATACAACACAATACAACAGCCTTAAAACTTGGTGTGCTTGGGGTGGCTGGGTGGCTCAGTCAGTTAAGCATCTGCCTTTGGCTCAGGTCATGATCGTGGGGTCCTAGGATCTAGCCTCGTCTTGGGCTCCCTGCTCAGCAGAGAGTCTGCTTCTCCCTTTCCCTCTGACCCTCTCCTCTTGCTCATGTTCTCTCTCTCCTAAATGAATAATAATAATAAAAAAAACCTTGGGTTTGCTCCTGTGTACATTAGACTTTCTGTAGGTCACAAAATAAGACAGATGACACTTTAATTATGGTGAATTCCATTCTATGTATACCTAAAACAAGGTAATCAACATTTGCAATCTCAAAATATTATGCAAATACCACAAACAAGGGAACATACTACACAAAGAAAAAAAAATTTGATTCTTTCGTATTATTATGTGATTTATATTGATATGGAACTTGAAGACATAATAAACTGGAGTTTACATTTTCCCTCAAAACTATAATATTTCTAGATTCCCACAACATAATTCATGCTGTCAACACCCAAGAGATACTGAGGTTGGAGATGTGGATCAATACACTCAGAGAGCTCTTACATGGCCAACAGCATCAGGCTGACCTGCTTCTCTGTCTTCTATCACTTGCTCCCTTTCTCAGTCTCCAGAACAGTGTCTTTCTGACCTTCTCCTGGTCCTCTTTGGCTCATAGTCTTGGCCCAGGCTGTTTCTTTTACCTTGATAACTCCTGCAACAGCACTTGACTTAGCTAGGACCGTGAGCCCCTTAAACAGGTGGGGTCTCTCTATCGCACCTGCCCAGAACCCTTGCAGCTCTTATCAAAATTGGAGTTGCCCAATTACTTATGCAAATTATTAGATTACCACCTGCTTCCCCTTTTGACTGTGAGCCCCATCATGGGAAGGGTCTGAATATGTCTGGTGTACTACTGTGTGCCCAGAGCCTCCTGCTGTACCTGCCACACAGGCAGCACTCAATAAATATCTGTGGAACAGGGGTGCCTGGGTGGCTCAGTTGGTTAAGTGTCTGACTCTTGGCTTTGGTCTCCTGGTTGTGAGATCAAGCCCTGCATCGGCTCTGTGCTCAGCGCAGAGGCTGCCTAAGATTTTCTCTCTCCCTCTCCCTTTGCCCCTCCACCTGCTCAATGTGCTCTCTCTCTCTCAAATAAATAAATAAAATTTTAAAATAAATATCTGTTGAACAAATGAACAAATATGTGAGTAAAGGAGGGAGTACGTGCATGAAATGATGATATGAAGCCAAGTTAGAGAGGCAGATAGGTGAGAGGTTTTTGTTTTCTTTTGAAAGATAGATGAGGGAAAAGCAATTGAAGCAGTAAAGTGGGAGGAGAATAAAGCAGGTGAAGCAAATGGTTGGAAAAGTAGGAGGAAAGACAGAAGGAAGGTAGAGAGTGGAGGAAAAGAACAGAAGAGAAAGGAAGTCCCAGGATCTGCTTTGCCTCCTCCTATCTCCTGGAAGGGCTGCCACAGCAAAGGGTGGAGTGAGGCAAAGGCGGATATGCCCCACCCCCCCTCGAGGGCCAGGCTGAGCAGAAGGTTGGGGTAATTTCAGTTCTCTCCATATCACCTGTAAAGCTTTCCCTTGCATCCCTGAGGATTCGAGTCCCAGTGAAAAGCTCAGCATTACATCACCTTAGGCCCACCACGTTTTACTGTACCCTCCACTCCATTATGAGAAGAACCAGTGAAAGAACTAGCCATCATGGCAGGAGCCAGGAATAGCTGACAAACCTTTCATGGCACATTGCATTATCTACTAACCCTCCGATCGCTTTCCCAACAATTGGAGGATCAGCACACCCAAGGGAGCAGGTGTTACTCATTACAGAGCAGACCCAGGAATCACCTGCTAGAGCCGTGTCTGAGCTCTCCCCATCTGTTCCCAACAAAGACCAGCCCCCACCCCACAACACAGTGGAAACCAACTCACCCAATCTGATCATGTAATCTTATTAAAACTATCTTTACAGCCCAAATGGCAGTTAGAACTAGTAATGGCAATAGCAGAAATGTTATCATCTGTTGTAAAAGAAATCGCTCTCTGTTAATTCTCCATTTCAGATGCTCCTCTGACGGGCTGCTGCAGAAGTGACTGACGGTGCTATTCTCTGGCTCACAATATAAAACCCTCTCCCAATAATGCTATTTAGTCGGCATCACCGATATTTGAAAATTTAAAACCGAAATGGTAAAAAAAGAAAAAGCAAATTAATATAGTATTTTCTCAAATGGAAAAGAAGAAAGGCCTAGGAGAAGTCTGCCAAAAAAGAAAATGAATTGGTTGCTAAGCAGTATTTCAGAAGCAATTCTAAATAAAAATCAAAACTTACTCTTAAAACTAGGAGACTCCTTGTGCTGGTTTTCATCCTCTAATGAAATTAACCTTAAAATTAAAAAAAAAAAGTTTAGTAATCTAGTTCTGAAAATTTTATATTTATGATACAGCCAGATTTTTCTGTACAATATTACTGCACTTACAACACAAAGACGTGTGCACACACACATGAACATACAGTCATTTACATGCTATTCATTTTTTTAAGAGGAAATACTTTTGCTGGCTTTTTCCTCTCCTAAGGCTGGTTAGTAGCATCTTAATAACTGAATTTGGTTTCATCACAAGTCATATATTCTGTAAATATCTAGGTGGGCAGTTAGGTATAACTAAAATAGATACTGTACAGTTATCACTTTTAAAAACGTAGTTAAAAAACTGATGGGCAAGTGAGTGTTTATTCTGATTCCTGCTGTTACAGGAGAGGACACCTCAGGAGGTTAGCTAAATTACTAAGGCTGAAAAGCAAAAGCAGGATCCGTCTCAAATCCAGAAGACTGTCACCTACTGAACTCTCACCATACCAGTTAAGATCACGGCAGAGACATATCACCACCCTGAGACTCAGCTGGTACCTTTGAACCTCCCCCTCTAAAGCACCTTTACCTGCTATTTTTGAAAGAAAAAAAAAAAAATTCTTGCTAAATTTCCATTTTGCATTTAAAATAGTTACTGGATTACACTTTTTGAGCTTTTAAAAAGAAGTACTAACATAATGGAGAAACCTGAAATTAAGGAGAACTAATCGAGACAATCTCGGGTGGTTCCTTTCTGAGTGAAGACTAATACTTTGATTGCAGTAACATATATGGGTGAAAAGAAGGTACCAGAACTCATTCCAGGTCCTGCCTCTTACTACACCAGGGGCCATGGGCAGTCTCTTCACTTCTTTTGAGCCTCACTGCCATCATTTAAACAATGAGGAAATGTTGGCATTGATTACACAAAGGGTTGTTGTGAGAATGAGTAGAGAAAACATATAACAAAGCACCTGACATTGCACTTAGTATATAGTAGAGCTCACTAAAGGGTACTAAGCATTACTGTTATTACCAGGAATAGGTTAAACTGCTTCTCCCTAAAATAGTTAATTTTATTAGTTTCAGATCATATTCTATAGCTGTTCCCACAGTGAAAACCTGTCTTTGTTTTACACTAAAGGAATTTTCTAGTATTTGCTTTAAAATTAAAAAGGCTTGGGGTGCCTGGGTGGCTCAGTTGGTTAAGACTCAGTCTGACTCTTGATTTCAGCTTAGATCATGATCTCAGGATCTCATGCGTTGAGCTCCATACTCAGTGGGGAGTCTGCTTGAGATTCTCTCTCTCTGCCCCTACCTCCACTAAAAAAATAAATAATAAATAAAATTAAAAAGGCTAATACTGGCAGCAAATACTTCTGTGGGACAAAAATATATATTTGAAATTTCAGAAACACAGTAAAAATACAAGCCGGTTTTACCATACAATTATCATCTAAATTTTTTTGTGTGGAGAAAGAATCCCAAACGGAGGTAAGGTAATCCACTTTCCTAGGTCAGCCAGTTCAAGACTAACCCTGTTCCTGCAAGCCCTGATATCTCAATAGGAAAGGATTCACACGGAAACCTCCCTGCTGAATGGGATCAGGACACATCATGCACCACATATGTTGAGAAATTTGTCTCAGTAGGTAACATGACTGGAGGCCCCTTCTCTGTAAAGTGGCAAGAAATGGAGATAGAGCAGTCACTTCCTGCACTCTGCTTCACAGAGGAAAAAACAGAAGGTGTGAAGAGTAGGAAACAAAATGTCAGAACCCAACACTTTTGTATGATAACACCTTAGTACTCGATGTCTCCTGAGGCAATCTCATAGGTTATTTCCTTCTACGAGAGAAAAAGCCAGGGGATTTCCTATCTGGGAAAGGATTCTGTAAATGATGGTAACAAAAGGACCAGATTGGGTCCAGAAGCCTGACAGAGCAGAAAGCTGGGGCTGAGGCCACCATACAGAGAGCACTGGAGACGTGTGCCTTTTCTCGTCCCAGTCAACTCCTCACAAGTGTGCTCCTTCTAAGCCCCGAGAAATGCGTCTCTTATTGGGATGAGTCCTGGCCGAGCAGGACTATGTGCAGGCCAAGTCTGGGCTTCATTTTAATACATCAACCCAGAGAAGTGAGGAATTAAAGCAACTGGCCTGTGTTTGAGACCCCAACAGACTTGCCGCCCTTGCCTGTGGAAATAAAGATTTTGCCAAGAGAAGCAGCCATAACTTACTGCCTCGGCTCCTCCACGGTGGCCTCTGCACTTTCCTGCTGGGTGATCTTCCTTTCTTCTTTCTCGATCAGTTTTTTCATAGGGTCTTGTAAGCTCTTGATCACGATAATGAAAAGGAAAAAAAGAAAAAGAAAGCTCAATAAAAAACTCAACTTCCTCTGGTCCAGAAACCAAACCTTGAATTCAAGGTTTGGGGAGGTTACCTTTGATCCTATCAAGTAGACAGAAAAGAGATTTTAAATGTTCTCAGACCCATCCAAGAAATACTAGCCTATAGAGGAAAATTGTTTTGCCACTAGATTTATGCTTTCCCCTTCGTGATAAGTTATTCAAAAGAAGGCCTTTTGGCTATTGCTAACTTTATTTTCCATCTTTAACATGTAGCAAAGATAAACATTCTGTTCTGCTTGCAGCCCACACACTGACAAAGTAGAAGTTTTCTCCCCCAAAGATGAGACAATTTCATTTTATTTTTAATTTTGTTTGTGATTTTATAATCTAAAAACAGCTTTTGAAAAATAAGAGAAAACAAAACCTTTTTTTTAAGAAAAAACAAAACAAAACAAAACAAAATAGTGGCTTAACATATTCTGACAACTCCCACAAGTGGACAGAGCAGGTGCATCCAAATCTTTGTAGATTAAAAATGGGTGGGAATCTTTTTTTGGAACATAATTTCTTGGAGTTATTGTTCTCAAGTTTTATTAAATATTTAAGGAAAGACTTTTTTAAAAAATCCAGTGCCTAAAAACTGTACACCAGCAGCAAACCTGAAAAAAGCAAAACATTTCCATAATAACTGAATAATGAGTTATAAAAAGAGATCTCTACTTGTGGTTCTAATTAAACCACAAACCTACAAATTACACAAGAAACATCTCAAGATACTTAACCTGCTTATAATCTTAGAACCTTTAAAATCTGTCCTTTGGGCCTTCCTGTCTCGTCCTCCTTCCCCTTCCCATCTTTCTCTTCTCTAGTGTGACCCACACACAGAAGGTGACAAGCACGTTCCCTACACCAACTCTGACAGATCTGTGATGTCTAGCTGCAGGTTGGACGGAGATGGTCTGGAGACAGAGTCTTTGCAGAGCAGAGCTATGATGGATGGCAGTGTCTGCTGTGGATGCCAGGTGGACACTGGTGTTATGCTCTCTCACTCCCTATACAGAATAATTTCCCTATAACACCCAAGCAATCATGGTACCATTTTTCTCAAGAACCCACAGTACTTCTGTATTTCTTTCCACTTCTAGTCTAAACCTGTCTGCCTGATTTGAAAGATCTTCTAAGATGGGATCCTATCCTAATCTCCCAGATTGCTTCCCTCTGGCTTCCAAATGGGAGCTTTCCATTCGCGTAGGCCTGTCTCCTCATCGCCTTCTATGTGCTAATTGCCCCCTTCCTATCTTTGTTCATTCTGGTTCTTTACCCAAAAAAGTTCCACCTATTTGTCCACCCTCAAAAGTCTGATCAGTCTTTGCAAAGCCCAGATCAATTACTGGTATTTTCCTTAAAGCTTTATTCACTAAGCACGCCAAATTCAAGAAAGTCCTTCCATCTTCAAAGTGTATTTACAGTCCTATTCACATTTGATTATATCTATTCTGTATTATGTTTTGTTTCTTAAAAAAATATTTTTTAAATTAGAAAAATAATAGAACCACACGTAGAATGCTTGGAAAATTAAAAAGGAAAAACTACTCATAATTTGATTTCCCCCCAAAATTAGTTATTATTTGCATGTATTTCCTTTCTGGTTTTTCATACTCATACTACTTTATATAATTGGAATCATTGCATATAGATGTCTTCTTAAGCAATATAAGATGTGTACATATTTCATAATAAAAAATATTCCTCATCAGAGAATATAAAAAAGATTTTATATATCATAAACATTCAATATTAAATTAAAATAGGTAAATACACATTCATTCACCATTTTTCTAACATAAGGTCAAGGTTTTTTCATTGAATATATGTGCTATGATTGTAGTTCTGAAGCATTTTCTTGCATCCCAAAGGCATTGCCATCATTGGTAAGGACTATTTCTGGACATTTAGATTTAGTACACTTAGTCAACAAATAGTTTTAGAGCATTTACCAAGAGCCAGGTGCTGTTTTGGGTGCTGGAGATACAGTGGTGAACAAGACAGACAGAATTACTAGTTAATGATGGGTCTAAGGCAGGGAATTAACATGGGGGATACAAAGTGACTGGGTCACTACTTCAGTTAGCAAGCACATCCTCTCTTGGAAGTGACATTTCAGCTGAGAGTCAGAAGACAGGCAGGAGCCGTCCGTGTGCAGGTCAGGGAGAAACGGAGGCCTGAGGGCAAAGGCCTAAAGGAAGGCATAGCTTGGCTTGGTGGAGGAACAAAATGAATCCACTGCGATTATAATATAGTGGGCAAGAGTACAAGTCCTAGGAGATCAAGATACAGAGGTCAGCAGGGGTCACACAGGGATAACATTTCTTTACCCACATTCATCAATATTTAACATTGTGCCCCACTGGCTTCATCATATTATTTTGCCCTTTATATCTCTCCAGTGCATGACAACGAAACGGGATCCATGATTATCAGCTGGAGGGGGAAATGTGATAAAGGACAGTATTGAAACAAACAAGGCCACTGGAATATGGACTGTAGTATAGATGTTCTTCTTTTTTAAAATCATATACCCCAAAGCATCTGGTAAAAGCTGGGCATGTGTGTGTGTGTGTATATATTTTGGAAATATGCAACCATAAGGAGAAGTTCAACAGATGTCAAAGACTTACTCTTTTCAATAGATCTGCCAATCACAGCATTTTATTCACACACAGACACACACACACACAGACACACACACACCCTTCCGCAGCTTTATTGTCCATAGAATGGTCCAACTCTGGTCAAAGTGAAGCCGGGAGTATTTTCAGCTGAGGTTCTGATGGCCCCAAGACACACTTTTCAATTCTGTGACGCTTTGTCCAGGCCTCCTGGTTTGCTCAATTACCTTCTCATTGCATTTCCTTTTTCTCAATCAGCACTAGGCAGGGCCAGGACATGTCTGCTCTCAGCCGGCTGTGTCTAGCTGCCACAGGGCTTGCCTAAGCCCCTGAGATGCCCTTGACAGCTCCATGGTTATCATCCCTTCTGTCTCCAGGCCGACCTCCCCTCATAACCACACTCCAGCAGCTCTCAGACAATCCCTTTGTAATGTAAACCACTCCTTCCTTCTTTTCAACCCCTTCCCTGTTGGGCCATTAGCAGGGACTCAATTGTTGGCTCCCTGTCACCATGATCACAGTTAAGTCACTATTGTGCTTCACTAACAGAATGGCTACAGTTCCAATCACTACTTTATTATTAATAATTCCTGTTACCATTGCTCCTCTCTTCCTCTTACCATTGTCCCTATAACCATTTGACTGTTGCCACTCAAGAGAGGTGCTAAATATGCACGTGTTTGGTTGATAAATTAATGTACCTAAGGTTAAACTTTAAGGTTAAAAATTATAGCTCTTTAGCTAGGAAATTCAAAGCCTCAGGGGAATAACAGGAAAAGGTTTATAGAACCATAAGCAAAATTAATACTGAACACCTGGGCTTATTTATTAAATATTAGAATTTTGAGCTAAGGGGAATCTTGTGTGGGGAATCTATCATGGGGGATACAAAGTGACTGGGTCATGTACCATAGAATTCACCCATCTAAAGTATACCATTCAGTGGTTTTTGGTATAGACACAGAGTTGTGCAACCATCACCATAGTCAATTTTAGGATATCTTTAAGTGGCATCTTTTGAAGCAAGAGAGACTTTTAGATCAAACTGAGCTAAATACTCCTCCATACAGCAAGGGTAAAAAACCACAACAACACATATGGAACCTGTTTCTTACAAAGATGATAAACAATATAGCTAATAAAGAAACTTAGAGGCACTTTGAAACATCACAGAGCACGAATCACATCCCCTTTCCTCTCTCAGCACTAGTTCCTGGGTGTGCCTGTCCGATACAGGATATTCTACATGGTGAACCAGTGCTTTCTTCAAAGTTTGATGAAAAGGGCTAAGTGGGGGCCGCGGTGGAGGTAAATTCTTTATAGTATTTTAAAGTCCACAACTCAGCTAAAAATGCTTAACCCTACAGCATCTGTAAAAGTCAGGGGTGACAGCATTTTGTGTGTGACATGAACATCTGGTCAGGCAAAATGAGCCTAAGAGGCCTGGCTGATTGCACAGCCAGGGGTGGCCATCAGATGGAACTATTTTGAATCAGTGGCTGATGGAAGCCACATTCAAATCCACGTCCAGAAATGAAACGTCAAAACACTCTGTTTCTAGACCCCAAACCCAACTGGGTCCTTCATTAAAATTGCTTGTGAAAATCACTACGTATTAGCAGCAATACAGCATCGTGCAAGAATGAAACGTTTTGTACAGAGGAAAGAATGTTTTTAGACTAAGTAACCTTTCTCTGTTTAAGGCTGCACTGACATGCTAATAGTTTCCATCAATGCTTAAATGGTTTCAGGAAGCACACACACAATATATAAGATCAGTGTGACAGAGGAAATGCGCAGACTGAGCTTGCAAAAGTGTCTTAGAAAGGAAGCAGCTTAATATAATAATGGGAGTTACTACTTCCTGTATTAGGAAAATAAAAGCAAGAGCAACATTCATCTGAATGAAAGCAAAACTACTCACAAAACAAATTTCACAGACAAAAGGCTAGCAGCCAGCCCTAATATAATGACCTAAGTTTAAGTTTAGCCTTGACAATCGAGTGACATTTTCTCTAATCTTTAATTACGACATTTAATTTTCTTAGGCTACTTTCCATTAATTATACTGTATGCATATGAAGGTGCCAAGTGATTGTCTATAAAAGGAAATGGAAGTGCTGAAAATAGTGAGGCATGGTTAAAAGATGGTGAACTCAGTTGGGTGTGTGTATGTTTGTGTTTATATAATTGGTAGCACATGAGGAATAAAAAGCAGAGGCCAATGATGTGTATGAGACGCACAATTCATGGACGTTTAGCACACGTGGCCTCCCCACCCATGCAGTTATAAATCTCTGAAGATACTATATAAG